GCTGGCAGGAGCCCTCCTGGGGTCAAAACAAATATCAAATATCAAACACTGACACTGAGAACTGTTCTTTCACTGGAGCCCAAATTTTATTGAATCAGTCTGTAGAGCATTGATGCACATTGATGCACAAGGGTAATTGTTGAAAATAATAGACCAATCTGCTAGCAATTAAAGGAGCCTAGAAGTTGAATATGGTCAGGTAAAGGAGACTAAAAAAGCCCTTTCAAAATCATTGTCATCTTAGGGTGACTGTGGGCATACCAAAAGATGAACCTCCCCGAGGAGTGGCATCAGAGGCTTAATGCTGGAGGGAGAGACATAGACTTCACTAAAATCATATACCCAGTCATTAAAGAAATAAACAGGCAAATAACAAGCCCCGAGGTGTACAGTAACCAGAGTTGCTACAACATATTATCTAAAACATCTAGTTTACAGCAAGAAATTATAAGACATGCAAAAAACAGGAAAGAATGACCCATACATACACTGGGGGGAAAAACAGGCAACAGAAACTGCCCCTGACAGTGACCAGATGTAGGATATCACAGATATAGGATATTCAGTGTACCCATTATAAGTATGTTCCAAGAACTAAAAGAAACCATTATGAAAGAAGTAAAGGAAGATACGATGATGATGATGTTGCATCAAATAGAAATATCAATAAATACGTAGAAATTATATATTATAAAAATAACCACATGGAAATTCTAGAGTTGAAAAATCTTATAACTGAAATGAAAAATTCACTAGAGGAGCTCAAAAGTAGCTTTGAATTGACCGAAGAAAGAATTAGTGAACTTTAGTGAACTTGAAAGTAGACTAATAGAGTGTATACAATACAAAGGATAATCAGAAAAAAGATTAAGAAAAATGATCAGAGAGCCCAGAGAAATGTGGGACACCATGAAGTGCACCAACATAAATGTCACTGAAGTATCAACATGAGAGGAGAGAAAAGCAAAGGAAAATTATTCAAATAAGTAATGGTTGAAAACTTCCCAAATTTATTGAAAAACTAAGCTGCACATCAAGGAAGATCAACAAACTCCAAATTGGATAAACACAAAGATATTCACAAACAGACTCATCATGATGAAAATGCTAAAAGTCAACAACAAGGAGATCTTGAAAGCAGCAAGAGAAAAATGACTTCACATTTAAGGGCAGTCTGACAAGATTAATAGCTGGCTCCTCAGCAAAAAACAGTGGAGGCATGAAGATAGTGGGATAACATAACGAAAGTGCTCAAAAGAAAGAAAACTATCAACTAAGAGTCCTATGATAAACAAATCTATCTTTCAAAATTGAAGGTGAAATAAAGGCATTCCCAGATAGACAAAAACTGAGAAAAGTTGTTCTTAGCTAATCTGCCTTATAAGAAATACAAAAGGGGTCGGGTGCGGTGGCTCACACCTGTAATCCTAGCACTCTGGGAGGCCGAGGCGGGTGGATCGCTCAAGGTCAGGAGTTCGAGACCAGCCTGAGCAAGAG